TTTAATATAAAAATAAAAATTATTTCTTAATAAAATTATAAATTTTAATATAAAGAGAAAATTTCAATTTTTATTATGTTTTATTAATAAATTTAGTTTTTGAATTATTACTTTTGATCACTATTATAATATAAAAATTTTTATAATTAAAAATAAAATTTAATTAATAAAAATTTTTATACTAACTTTATAATTAAAATAATTCTTTTAGAAAAAATCTAAAAAATCTGAAAAAAATATATATTAACTATAACTAATAAATTTTATTTTTATATAAAAATAAAAATTATTTCTTAATAAAATTATATATTTTAATATAAAGAGAAAATTTTTAATTTTTATTATATTTTATTTATAAATTTAGTTTTTAATATATTATTTTTGACTATTATTATATATATAAATTTTAAAATATTATAATATTTTAAAATTATAATTAACAAAAAATTATTTTAATAAATTATAATTTAAATAATAACTTTATAAAAGAAATTATTATTAAAATTATATATAATTAAATTTTAATAATTTAAATATTATATATATAAATATTAAATATTTTATATTATTTTTTATTATATAAATTATTATAATTTTAACTTGTATTAAAAAAATAATTTTAAGTAAAATTACTTAATTTTAATATTTTATAATTTATTTATATTATTACAAGAAGTTTTTACTAAGTTATATTGTAAATATAAATGAAATATTAATAAAATTTGATATAATTATAAGTTTAAGTTAAAAATATTAGTATTAAAATAATATATAATCAGATAACTAATAATAAAAAATCAATTTAAGTAATTCTGACATGTTTTATTAATGAATAAAAGCATTTTTTCATGATTATCTTCAAGAAAAAAGATGATTCATAACAAAAAAAACGTCTTTCTCCTAATATAATCATGATCTTTTATAAGAAAAGCTGAAACAATAAACTGGACATATTGATTAGATGATCAGCAAAAAGAGCTTGTTCTTTATTTTTGACTCATTTAAAAAACATCTTGCTGATGCTATCAAGAGAAAATTAAAAACATAATACTGATCTTGTTATTATTCCTATGATTTGCATCTTTATCAACCACTTGATGTTTTCATTAATCATCCTTTCAAACTCCGCCAATGGATGATATGAGATGATAATATTAAAAAATCAAGTCGGGAAACTTAAGAGAATGAGAGCGACGAATATATTAATGATAGTATGACTGATAATTGATAATGAAGAAACTGTTTGTGTTTGTATTGAATAACAGATAGTATATGAATAAAGTTTCTAAAGATTGCTTATATTCGGTACCTATCATTTCATGCATTTTATGTTCAAAAAGGGGGGGGGGGGGGGGGTTATTTTCGAAGACGATAGTATATTGTGTATCCCGGTGTAAAAGATAACTGATATAGTTTTTTCATATATAGAATTCGAATCACATATACATGTACGTATAACGTTTATCTCGTCTCGTTGGTTTACTGTCGCTATCATTTCAAGCATTAATCAATTTAAACGCATTCCCAAAATCCATATCCAGTAGAATCGAAATACTCATGATTGTAGCAATGTTACTATTATCAAAGAGACAATCTAATCAAAGAATGCTACAAAATTAACGAATGGATTTCTTTTGAAAGATTTACCAACGTAGAATATCCTGTAAAAGGAGGTTTTGGGTCAATTTATAAAATAATCTGGTTGGATGGACCATTGGATGAATGGACCATGAGAAAAATAAAATATTGAAATCATTACACAATTTAAAGCAAATTATTCCGAGTTGAAAAAAAGAACATTTTCTAAAGTGAAATTTGTTTTTTCTGATACAATCAAATATTTCAGATTGCTCTTAAATGCAGATGATAGTATGTTAATTCCAATTATTTTGAATCGAAAATTAGAATATTTAAGGATGAATAAATAATCATTCACGGAGGGAAATTTGTGCATCGTGTATTAATGTTGCTAATTTTGAACTTAGCATTTATTATCGAATATAAATATATATCGAATATATATTTGTATACGAATACATATTTAAAATATATTTTTATTCGAATATCAAGGTTGCATTAAGTACACATGCCTCGACTTGCTGGAACACCTAAAAAAAGCGTCGTCGTTATGTCACTATATAGAGTTTTCTACTATGATGTCGTTATATAAGTGTTATTTTTTTATGATATCATTAATTAAATCAGCTCCATTTAAGATTTAGTTCGAAAAAATTTCTTATACATGAAGTTTTAGGTTTTTCGAATTTTTAACTTTTAGTACCTGAGTTATGAGTTATAATTCAAGAAACGCGATACAAAATGCTATAAGCATATACATTATTATTAATTATGGAGAATAGGCGATGACTTTCCTTTTATTCCTACCACATGTAGATGTATATATTAGGTCACTATACTGAGGACACGATTTTCTATTTTTGGAGAAGAAATCACTTTTGTGTTTGCTTTTCGTCTACTGCTTTATGTGCAGTGCCACACATACGTAAAGGGAAAAACCTTATCTACAAGAACAAGAATTACATGTTTCGGAGATCTAGATGGATTATATACTCGAAAGTCAAAAACCTTACATGTATTAAAAAATTGCTGCACACAAAAAATAAGCGTCTTTACTCTTGCGAACCGGCAAGGTTATATTGAGAAATTATAGCAATTCCTTGAAACAAAGTTTTGAAGTAGTAATAAACATGGCATTTTTGTAAAGACATGTACTTCAAAAGTTTTTAAGAAAATGCCACAGTAACTGCTCGATATAATGTACTTACTTAAAAGCCTCTACTTGGTTTGGTACATGTAATTGCTATTGTTTTGGATTGGAAAATTTAATGTTTTCGTCAGTTAGCAAAATACTAAGGTCCCATATGAGCTTGACTTTTACTATGTAGAGGAACCGAGACAATGATGAAATTAATGTGTATTTAAAATGATGTCAATTTGTTTATTGCTCCACGTATTTTTGTAAATTATTTTTGTAAATTATTATTCTAAATTGTATCTCGTACCAATGAGATAACAAAAACAAATTAATTAGATTATTGATTATTAAATTCTAAAATCGCCTTTTAAAAACAGAACAATAATACTAATAATTATTATAATAATAGTAATAATAATGATTTATCCAAACATGATAATGGAGAAGCAAGCAATGAGAATACCACTATATCCACCCCACCCTAATAGTCCAATTGTAGATGTTTTAGCATTACCACCAGCAGTGAGGGATGAAGATGGGGATATAGGAGCACCACTTGAAGATTTTGAAGGTGAACCAGTAGGAACTGAGCTACCGCCGGATGATGGAGGAGAGCTCGGAGCCTTATAGATAGCAAGGTAAGTAAATAGTTAATAAAGACAAAAAATAGGAGTCGTTGTAAAGTGTTAATATTTGCTTACTTTGGAGTTTGCGCTAACAGACCCTGACACTGTTCCTGTCGGTGTTATTTCAGTTCCAGTTACTCCAGTTACCGTTCCGGTTGCAGCTGATGAACTGATTCCAGAATCGGTTCCAGATACAGATGGTGTTCCGGATACAGATGGTGTTCCAGATACAGACGGTGTTCCGGATACAGATGGTGTTCCAGATACAGATGGTGTTCCAGATACAGATGGTGTTCCAGATACAGATGGCGTTCCAGATACAGATGGCGTTCCAGATACAGATGGTGTTCCTGATACAGATGGTGTTCCTGATACAGATGGTGTTCCAGATACAGATGGTGTTACTCCTGTTGCTGTAGGCGATGCGGAGTCCGAATTTGAACCGGAAATACTAGTATCGGCATTCGTTGTTGTTATTATAGAAAAAGAAATAAGAATAACGACAATGACGAATAATTTTAAGTTAAATTTATAATGTTTTTTGTCATAATTTTGTGGCATCATTTTTTTTTATATTCGTTTTCGTTTCAGAAATGTAAATTAAAGGATGAAAAAAATGGGTGGTTGTCAAAATTCAGTGATAAGCTTTTCCTTTTATACAATTGAAAAGTTCATATAACTTGAGTAAAAAATAAGACTTCTATAAAAAACTTTATTTATTTATATTTATTATAATTACCTTTTTTAAGATTTTTTTGTTATTTATTAACGCCCACTTTTTTTTGCTGCAGCTGAAAGATTATTTAGAAGGTTTTTAAAAAATACTATTTTAATTTCATAATATATTATGGTAAAAGATACTCGAGGAAGGTGCATATTTTTTCATGATTTTTTGAACACACGACTTCACATAATGATAAACACACCCGTCTCTTTCTCGTTAGTACTCCTGCATTTTTAACGCACATACCAGTGCATCAAACGAACACTACTTTTCCGGTTTTACTGATTATCGTTATGTTTTCCTCTCATCGAATGTTCACCACTTCCCACTACTCATAAGTACAGTATTTACTACTCGTCGGTTCATTTTATTACTCGATTTTGATAAGATCTTCTTTGATATTATCTTGTGAAACCAACTGTCCCAAGAAAAAATACTTGTTTCAGAACCTGTTCGCTTTACATTTCTTGATAATTGCATTTATTATTCCATTCAAATACTTTTTAAGTGTAACTATTAATTTACATATAAATTTTTTTGTGCACCCCAATCAACGCCCGGCAAAACAAATCCGAAACAAGAAAATGAAAAATACCAAAACAAGCCTAAATCCAGCTTAAAGCACTACACATAACCTTGGCTCTAACTCTAAACATCAATTTTTAATATTCAACCCCCCCTTTATTATCGTAAAATTTTCCGGACGTTCACATGTATCTACAAAAATTGGCCTGACCAAAATTGATGTAGTTTTTGGCCCAGGATTTGAATAAAAGTTTTATTTTTAGAAATCATGCAAATTCTCATTTAAGGGATGTCGATAATTAGAAGATATGCAGCTTGTAAAACGCCCATTTACTTTCTGATTCATAGGAATGATCTGGGCACCCTAATCTGCATAATCTAAATGCATCGTGTCGTCATCAAGCGTGAAACAAACACACATTTGATTAAATTTTTCCTTTTTTTAATTTTCAAAAGAATATAATATACATAATCTTTGAATTCAATTATTGGATAATTGAGAGGTTGCTGTTTATAGTTTATAGTTTCTATTATTATGTTCGCGTATTCTCACAGAAATGTTTATATCAAATAGATTCGAAGGCATCGTGAATGGGATTCTCTGCATAAATGTTTAGTCTAGAATCTGTCAAAAAGCATTGTGTGTGTCTTTCCTTGTTCATCTCAACATAATAACACTTAAACGCTTTTTTCTCATTTCCAACTTCCCACTCGTCGTATGTATCCATCATTTGCAGTTAAAGAATCCATTCAAATGATTTTCATTTCATCTTTAGTTATTTAATCCCAAAACAATAACAAGCACCAACTTACTTCAATCTACATTTGTCCATTAAGTATACCATGAGCAACTATTTCCATTTGCTGCTTTGAAATACAACTTAAATGTTCAAATTATTATTTTTGTGATACTTCGGTAAAACCGTTCTGGTAGGACTTGAACGCCTTATTGATAGCACTAATCCGGGAGAGTAATATATTGAACGTTAACTTGCTGAATTTTCTATTAATCTTCAATAGAGTTTTCTAGATAGCTTGCGCCGGTTAATTTGCCGGAATCGATCAAAAAATAAAAGAGGCAAATACTATGTTGCCATATTTTGGGCTACTAAATCTAGGTAAATTTTTAAATGTTCGTAGATTATGCTCTCAATAAAATTGACTTGCAATAAAAAGATATATTATTCGAACTAAGTTTTATTTTCATATATAATCATAAGCAAAGGCTGGATGAAAAAACAGCATTTTAAACATGTTTTTGACATCATATTATCTTCAGGGCTCGATTTAAAATGGATGGATTTACTCAGAGATTTGGGGTAGTTAAAACCGTGATAAATGAGTAAAAATGTATTTATTTGATAGATTATCAACGGTATTTTATAGCCATTTAATATAAGCAAAAAGCAAAGAGCTTAGTCTCGTGATAGTAATCCAGAAATCTTAGAACTCTGTTTCTTTTGGTTGGGGAGTGATTGAGCACTTGAACCATCAGATTCTTTCAGCATATAAAGAAATTTTAATTACAGTAACTTTAATCTTTATTACGAAAAATCTGGATACTTGAGCTTTTAAAAATTCAATACGAATATTTTGCTATAAATATTTAATTATGTGAAATAATTATTGAAATATATGATTTCTATGGCTATTGTACCATCGCTAAAAACCTTTCGTGAACTCGAGTGTTTAACAAATTTTGATCTGAAACTTTTTAACCGTACAAAAAACATCTGAATGCAAATTAATTGATACGCAATGATTTCCGACCCGACCGGTTGGAACTACATGCACATGTGCATCATCTACATGTATCGATTAAAATTTTGTCATATCACGGGATCCATAATCTCATGAGCGATTCAATTTAGAGAACAAAGCGAAGCCTCGGATTAGTGATATTAGCAATGTATTTGAACAGGATGAGCTAATATCATTGTCAAATTTATTTTTGAAGAAATAATTTATAAATATGGATGTCTAAAAGAATTACAATCTAATCAAGAAACTGAATTCATAGCTTAAGTAATCAAAGAACTCACCACTCAATTTGGAATTAAAGATGCATTGAGTCTAATCGTATGAGAATCTGATATGTCGTACTATTAAAACAGGAAGAATACATGCATCGGACAGGTTAATAGCAAGGCTGCTGAGGTGATTCATCAGTCAAGACAATGGCCTTTGTTTGGATGTAGAGAAGTACATGTAGTGGGAATCACAATAGTCATAATTCAAACCAATAAAGTTCTTAACTATTCTCTTACAATTATTATAATCATTCCGAAAGCACATGTAATTCACAGAGAAACTGCATAAGCATTAACAAGTTAAAAAATGTATCAGCTTAGAAATCTCTACTGTCTAATACCTGCTAAGGTAGGAACTAGCGACTCCGGGTCCGTTAAAAAATACGCGAAAAAAAGGTACGTAGTAACGCCCGTGGTCATACAGTAGAGTTGGGCGCCGAAGCTACATGTGATAGTTTAGGTCATAAATTTATAGCCGAAATTATTTGAAATAATTTAGTCAACTATATTATAAGTCTCGCGGTTTATTCCGAAAATCTCCGATAAGGGTACGATGAATCGTGAGTAAATGCGTATCGATGTACGTATACTACATATTAATAATCTGAATTCTCAAAATAAAGTCTTGGATAAACAATAAATGAAAAAAGCCAAAATTAATACAATTTCTAAGAAACCTAACGAAGTATTCATAAAAGTTTAGTCGTCAGCATTTTTGTTTTCAATATTAATATTTTTTACCTATTAAATATAAAAATTCATTAGCCTCTTCCAATTACACGTGTTTTCTCTAACAACCTTGTTTCCAATTCAACAAACGACAAACTCAAAACACATGCAAAGATAGGGTAGCTAAAACGCGTCCAAACATTGTATGAGTTTCTGAGCTTATAATGAAAATTTCAGCTTCCCGCAATTCTCTGCTCAATATTGGGAGTCCAATATTATATACCCGTTAAACATGAATACCGAGAAATGCTTCACAGTATTATCTTTTCGTAATGAGGATTTACGATAGAGTTGTTTTACATATTTCAACGTTATGTGAATTCGTATAATTGAAATAAATCAATAATCGGGACAAGATATAACTATTCTTGAACCCGGTGTTAGTCTATATTCTGTGGTATTAAATCAATTTACTATATCAAATACACAAAATCAATCGTCGAAATCAACAGTCAAAATACGAGTCTTATTGAACAAAAAAATGGAATAAATTTTTTGTTCCTGTAAAACAATTTAGTTTTGATTTTATGAAAAGTTTCTTTATCAAATTGAATTATAAAAAAAGTAAATTGCCATTGGGTTTTTAAGAAACACTTCTCGACTATGCAAATACTGTACGTTTAATTGTAGCACCTTTGTTAGTGGTAGTGCTTGGATTCGAATACCGTATACTCGCGAAATAAAGGGCATGGGCGTTATTTCGAAATCACACCCTTTAAAATAGTCCGTCTGCTTCAAAATAACGCTCACCCATATACAGTGTGTTAAGAAAAAAACGGCGGTGACAAAAATCCATATATCTCAACAATTACAAAATAAATTTAGGCTTGTTTGAAAGCTTATTAGGTATTTTATTTAATAATATGGGATTCTATCTCCATTACCGTAAAGTCCCGATAATAAGCAACCTCCTAAAATAAGCAACCTCCTAAAATAAGCAACCTCCTAAAATAAGCAACCCCTATTTGCGATAGTAATTTTTAATATATAGCAGTAAATGTTTTCCAAGTATTTCAATAACCAGTAACCAGATTCAAATGAAAAACCTGCCAAAATGATCGCCTCAATAAGGCGAATCTGATGAGCTATAGAACATTCGATTTGGATTATTAGTCATCAATATATTTACATTTATTTAAAGGGCTCAAAAATGTGCAACTCTCCTAAAAATTGATCTCAAAAATGATGACGTAGGGGGTTGCTTATTATTGGGACTTTATGGTATTCAATAAATTGATTCACATCTGCTTTGCATGGATGAAACTAAATTATTAACTATTTCCTGAGGAATTGCATCCCATTCCTCAGTCATAAATCTTATTAATTCATCTGTATTTTTGTGACATTCATTTTTCAACATTATTTTTCATAATTTGCCACATATTTTCAATGGGATTAATATCTGGACTGTTGGATGGCCAGTCAATTAAGTAGATTGAATTTTCAGCAATAAATTCCTTAGCAACATGTGACTTATACTTTGGATCATTATCCTGTTGCAAATACCAATATCTCCCATATATTCTTTGGGCTACAGGTAGAAGTTGGGTTTGTAATATTCTCACATAAAAAGGGCCATCCATAATATTGATAAAATAAAACAAGAGTTTTTCTCATTTGAAAAATACCATCCCATGCCATTACTTTCTGACAGGACT